ACAGTGTAGGGTCATGCAGGGAGTGGATCATGGTCCTCTCCCAGGTCCTGGCCCTTTGCTGTCACCATCCTGTGATCCCATCCCCAGCCCCAGCCCCTGCCCACCCACCCTATCTGGCGCCCCTGCCCCTGGGGTGCATGGGCCAGGGCGCCTGGGCAGCAGGTCTGGGTCTGGTGACGGCCACGACACCAACAGCAGCAACTGGAAGAAGCTGAATCCGGCTGCCATGCTGCCCCAGCCCTGCTGCGTGCCAGGGGTGGCGGGACCGGCCACATGCGCCACAGCCCAGGCTGCCCCCTGCGTCTGGGCTGGGTGGGGCTGAGGGACCTGGCATGGGCCAGATACAATCCCTTGGCGGGCCATATATATAGCGTGGGGAAATGGAGTACAAAGAACACATCAAAGACTCCAGGCTAATAACCTCAACTAGGGTCACTTGGTGTACTAGCCTGAAGTCAATACTGGCAGCTCATTTTGCTGCAGCGAACAGCTAGGGCAGGGGTGGGCAAAACGGCAGACCCAGCCAGTGGCCAGACTCCATTTCCCAGCAGCCCCTGGGTGGGACGAGCTAGGGGAATGCAGCCTCGGTCTGCAGGTCAGGCCGCTACAGGAAACGCACCTTCACTAAGGAGCCAGAACCAAGGCTCATGCTGCTGCACCTTGCAAAGGCACGTGAATCTGGAACTTGCTAGCTTCTGCTGCCCAAGGGGCTCTGGGACAAGCGGTTCCTTTTAGGCTGAAGAGAAAGCTGCATTTCTACTGACCCAGGAACATTTTGCCACCTCCTCTTGGAAAGCCAAAGTACTCCCCTTTCTTCCCGGACTGAGTGGTTTCAGGAACACAGCACTCACCGCAGGAGCAATCACACAGTTCAAGGGGGCTGGCATTAGCAGCTTGCTTTAGGGAATGCATTAGCCCCATAGGCCCTGAGAGAAGATTGTCCCTGCCTTGAGGTCAAGAGGGATGATAGGACTTCAATGCTGCATCATATCAAGCCACCTGGATAGACAGGAAAAAGTTTTGAAAGCAACCAAATGAAATTCAGCCAGGACAAGTGCAAAGTCCTGCCCGTGGCACAAATACAGTCCAGGGAATGACTGGATAAGCTGCAGTACTGCAGAAAAGGACTTGAGGGTCACAGCAGACCATAGTCTGAATATGAGCTAACAGCATGTTTTTGTTGCAAAAAAAGCCAACAGCAAACTGGGTTATATTACCGGGCATGTGGCTTGCAAATCAGGGAACGTGATTCTTCTGCTCTGTTCAGCACTGGTAAAGCCTCACCTAAAGCACTGTGTCCAGTTTTGGGCCCTGCAATTCAGAAAGGATGTGGACAGATGGGAAAAAGTCCATCGGAGAGCAACAACAATGATTAGAGCAGAACTTACAAGGAAAGGCTGAATGAACTAGGGTTATTCAGTCTTCTCCTTTCCACACTGAAGGTAGAGTTGATAACAGTCTTCACATAACTGAGAAGATGGAGGTGGGCTTTTCTCTGGGGCCACAGGGGACAGGAATAGCAGCCGTGGACTCAAGCTGCATCAGAGGAAATGCAGGTTGGAGATTTGGAGGAACCTTATGATGATGAGGGTGGCCAAGCACTGCAACAGGCTACCGAGAGCAGGTCTGGAATTGCCATTCCTGGAAATTTTCAAGAGCAGGTTGGGCAGATACTTGGCTGGCTTGGCTGAGGCAAGGATAATCCTGCCTGGAGCAGAGGGCTGGACTAAATGACCTTGTGAAGTACCTTCCAGCCCCACCTTCCTATGATCCTATCGTCTGCAATGTTTAAAGCAAGTCTAAGGAAGTAACTGAACCTATGATGAATCCCAGGGTCCTGGCAGAATCAGGATGTACAGAGGATGAGACAGGACCACCTGCCGCCCAGCGCAGCACGCTCTCTGCAATATCTGATACACATCTTTATTTCCCAAGCAGGAGTAATACCACTTTTATTATGAGATTATTATACACACGAAAATCTTACCACTGTGACTTCCCCTTTGACTCGCAGCCATTTCTCTCCTTTATGATTTAATCGCATTACTCTTTATACCTCTCCAAATAAATTTTCTGCAAAGTTGGTGTCGGCCACCTGCAAATACCCATAAGTCATCACGTCCCAACCCCTCAAGGTATTGCTTAGCCACGCTGGACATGTTGGCCTTTAGATCAATTAGGTTTGCTTTTATGCCAAAACTCCTTTGGGCTCCTTTTTAGTTATTTAATTGCTGTTATTGTGCAATCAATCAGCAGTTCTGCCATACGGCGTCCTCTGTCTGAAAATAATACGACAATCTCTTGCGCCCTGCAAGGTCCTAAGCAAACATTTTTTAAAGTTGCATGAATCTATTGTGAACATTTAGGCAACTCAATAATGTTTTAGAAGTGCCTCAGGCTTAAAAAAAAATACCACCAAAGTTAATGGACGCAGCAGGTGCTTGTCATCTCTTAAAATTGGGTGTCTGTATATGGATTTCTAGCCCTGTTTTCAGACAGCCTGGTTGAAAGTGTTGGCTCCATGGCTTAACAGGGGACTGAAGAGCTATTACCACTGGATTCAGGAAGGTTTATAGTGGCAAAACTGTTTTAAAGAAGTTAAAAGGAAATGTGTTTTATTTGCTAACACCTGAGTTCCAGCCTTGAAGTGGCAGTTGTTCCACAGGCTGTGGGTCCATATGCCTTCATGCTTCTGGAAGTGGGAGAGGTGGTCAACCCTGTTAGTCTGAAATCAGGCAGAAGGCAGGGCAGGGGGGCACCTTGAGAGGATCTCAAATGACTGCCCCAGGACTGCTAAAAGGTAACTAAAAGAAGGAACTCTCTCTAAAGCAATTTGGGAGTAGGACATGCTTCTTTGCTACCCTTCTTCTAATGAGCTGGGATAGAATCACAAAAAATGAGGGTGGAAGGGAGCTCAGGAGGTCACATCTAGTCCAACCCCCTGCTCAAAGCAGGACCAGCCCCAACTAGATCATCCCAGACAAGGCTTTGTCTAGCTGGGTCTTAAAAACCTCCAAGGATAGAGAATCCACCACCTCTCTGGGCAACCTGTTCCAGTGGTGAAGCCTGTTCCGCCTCGTGAGAGTTTTTCCTAATATCCAACGTAAACCTCCCTTGCTGCAACTTGAGCCCATTGCTCCTTTTTCTGTCATCTGCCACCACTGAGAACAGTTTGGCTCCGTCTTCTCTGCAACCCCCTGCAGCGAGTTGAAGGCCACTATTCAATCCCTCCTCGGTCTTCTCTTCTCCAGGCTCAATAAGCCCAGTTTCCTCAGCCTCCCCTCATCATCCACGTGTCCCAGCCCCCAAACCATTTTTGTTGCCCTCTGCTGGACTCTCTCCAATTTGTCCACATCCTTTCTGCAGTAGGAGGCCCAAAACCAGACACAGGACTCCAGATGTGGCCTCACCAGTGCAGAATAGAGAGGAACAATCACTTCCCTCAATCTGCTGACAACGCTCCATCAATGCAGCCCAGGATGCCATCAGCCTTCTTGGCACCAAGAACACACTGCTGGCTCATAGTTAGCTTATTGTCCACTGTCACCCCCAGGTCCTTTCCTGCAGAGCTGCTTCTTAGCCAGTTGGTCTCAAGCTTGTAGCAGTGCATGGGACTCTTTCATCCTAAAGCAGGACTTTGCACTTATTCTTGTTGAACCTCATGAGATTTCTTTTGGCCCAATCCTTCAATTTGTCTAGGTCACTCTGAATCCTAGCCTTCCCCTCCTGTGTATCTAGTGCTCCCCCCAGCTTGGTGTCATCCGTAAACTTGCTGAGGGTGCACTCCACCCCATCTTCCAGATCATTAATGAAGATACTGAACAAAACCAGTCCTAAGACTGACCCATGGGGCGCTCCACTTAATACCGGATGCATGGATTCAATTTAATTTTGCAAACATTTGTCACTGCTACAAAGATAAAATCCTTGATTATTTATGTATTTGAAATATGGGATTTTTAACGAAACCTAAGGAAGAAAATCCCAGCCTTAAACACAAACTTTTGTTTGGGAGACCTTGGACTATTAAAGCCTGAAGTAGTTTATACTTCTAATCTGTTTTGCACTATTGGTGTCATTTATTATTTGCACAAGAAGCACTAAACCAATTAGTTTTCCTCTCCACTTCTTTTCCTGAAATTTATTACCTCATTTCTATTGCATTTATGCTGCCATCAAAGAAAAAGGAATGCCCAATAAAATAAAAAAAAACACCTCCCCGACAACTTGCACAGAAACACAAGACCCTGAACATTTTTGGATTCCTATTAGGAAAAACTCACCATTTCAAAAAGGGCCACAGGTTCCCAGCATCTCTGTGAATGTCATAACTTCTCTTCCCTTCAATTTTTATTTATACAGTGGAAGCTGCAATTGTTAAGCAGCGTGCTTTAAAAAATCCCCCAAACCTAAGCTTTAAAAATGCTGCAGTCTGATATCCATTATGGAAAGGAGTGAAAATAAAACAAGGAAACAGTAATAGCATCTTCAAAGTGGGGGGAAAAAAATCCCCAAAACAAAATTAAAGGAAAGCAGCCCATGTTTCCTGCATGCTGAATTATGCTGTATAAGATCACTCAAGAGAAAAGTCCTCAGAACTCATATGCTTTGCAAGACGAGATAGCTGATGGCAATGACTCACGGGATAATGCTTTTGTTATTGTGAACTCAGTTTGCTGTAAGTTTTCCTTTTTTCTTGGCATGTCTGCCTTTTATGTTACAGAGCATATTAACATATTCAAAACCTACAGCTGCTGTCTTTCTGGAGTCAGTCATCTGAAAGCCTAGCTCACGGCTCGCTAGTGCCTAATATTAAGTGCCTATCATATTTTGATGCACTTGGACAATAAGTAAATAATATGCAAATGCTCGGAGTCCGAACCCTTTGAACGAATGCCTGCCACAAACCGCAGTGGGGCCGCACGCCTGAGATGGCTACGCAAGACCGCGGCCCCGATTCACCCAGCGCAAGCAAGCTCCAAGAGCACGACTTGGGTTACCTTCGTAGGTGGCTTTGAAGCCGAGTAAGTTGCTGACGCTGTCTGTCTGGAAAAGAAGCCACATCTGGTGGTGCGTGCTGACAATCAGATCGGGAACCGTCGAGCCTGTCAAACTGTCAAAAGAAAATTGGACGTATGTAATTTCCCTACGTGGGTACTTAGCTTACTGCCCATTTCAAAGACCACACACAACTTTGTTTTTGGACAGAAAATGATGGGCATCAACGTCAAAAAACCCTCTCCTGAAAATATGGAGCAGGTTTTTAGTGCTGACTCAAGTAAAATATTGATGTGCCTTTCAGCATCCAGGCCTAGTTTAATCAGAAACTGGATCACATCAATTAGATCACCTCTTTCTTTTACTCCTAACTCACAGCACCCCTTGCTCTCCTGCGCCTATCCCAGGCCAGTTAACAGTAGAAATGATAACAGGGCTAAATGTTGCAGTATTTCTTTTTTATCCTTAAAAAAGAACAACTAGAAACATGCTTATTAGAAGATGTCCTGGTACAACAGTCTGGGAACTGGGAAATCTGAGTTTTATTCCCAGCTGTGACCTTGTGTGCAACCTCAGTCAGCTACTCTATCTTTTCAGGTCTCTCTCAATCTCTCGGTGTATATTTGGACAGCACCTAGCGCAGTGAATCTCTGTTCTTGGTTGGGGACTCTAAGTGCTATTTAGCATAAATAATAGCCATTTCCATTGTCACTAAATCAAGATGCAAAAAGACAGCCTAAGGACGCGAGGGAAGCTGATGAATGAGTCCTTCCCATTACCCTCACCTGCAGTTACAAGCAAAAATGGAGCCTACTATTAGAATTAAGTACATTAATCTCATTCCTTGCAGAACATTTCCTCTGCTGAAAAGGGAAGTTTTCACAAGAGCCCCATTATACAACCATAGATGGGGCACAAGCCCTAAGGAGCTTGTTGTCTGTACAGGACCCTTGAGGATATTGCTAGGCTATGGCCTCGGGAAGCGTTGGTGCACCGTGGAAGCCAAGTGCACCCTGGAGTGACACTCCCAGGAGTAAAAACCAATAAATACGCGGGACACAGCACAACAGGTGCAAGGCCCCTTTATCCAGCCACTTGAACCATTCACCTTGCGTGTACATGCATGCATGCACACAACAGGCATCTGAAAACAGAAACGGGAGGGGGAAGAAGAGTAAGGAATCATTAGAGAGGTGAGGGACCAGAGTTTTGTCAAGCGACTCATCTTAGCAGGTGGTGCATGGTGTTACACGTTCTGAGTTACTTTGAGTCGTCTTTGTGATGCATTTTTATGCTACAATAAAAGCACCTCTATGGCATGCTTCCTTTGTAGCATGTGCTTTTGCATACGCACAGATTTAGTTTATGCCTCACATCATCCTCTGATACAACAGCAGCGGTGTCTGAAAATGCCCTTGAACCCAGAGCTCCTGAGACAGCATGGGTGTAAAACAATACTGCTTGTGAGCAAACACAGCAGCTGAGAACTGAGATAACCTAGGGACAGTAATGCCAGCTCTTGTGACCCAAAAGTCCGTTCATTGCCACTCTTTTTCCTGGGTTATCAGCAATAAGCAATAGGGGTGTGCGAAGCGGGCCCTATTTGATTTGGATTTGAATTCGGCCCGCATCAGGGATAGTGATTTGATTCATTGATTTGGATCACTGTCCCCGATTCGATTCGACCAAGTCTGAATCAGCAGGTTTGATGCTGATTTGGAGAATCAGCGATTTGGATAGACACAGCTTTAAAAGTTGTTTCTACATACCTCGAGGTACCAGTGCAGCTTGTGAACGCTGCGATGCTGGGGCGCATGGAGCGTCCTACAGGAGTGCGGGGGGCCCTCCATGTGCTCGGTTGCAACCCGGGAAGTGGACCGGAAGTACTTCCAGTCTACTTCCAGGTCTGCTGGGGGGGTGCTGGGCCCCCCCACACCGCCCCAGCACAGCAATCAGCTGCAGGGGGATCCTAGGTGCCCCTCAGACCCAGGAGACACTGGTCACCAAGCCGGGGGGAAGGGGAGGCCCCCCTGTGCACTCCCCGGTAGACCTAGAAGTGCTTCTGGTCCACTTCTGGGTATGCTGCCGAGCGCGCTGGGGAGCCCCTCGCGCTCCTGTGAGACGCTTCATGCACCCCAACATCGCAGCATTCACAAGCTGCCTGCAACGTAGAGGCATGTAGAAAAAACGTATAAAGCCGTGTCTACGTCTGAATGGCTGAATCTGTCTGAATCTCTCCGATTCCATTTGGAGAGATTAAAAGGTCCTCTGCTTCAATTTGGATTGGGAGATTCGGCCACTGAATCGGGCTGAATCTCTGCCGAATTGAATCAGGGACCGAAGCTTCGCACAGTCCTACTGCTCATCCATTTGAGCATGGTCAACCTGCTCTGCCTTCCTTAAGACTGACAGCTTATTAAATGCTAGATTCACTATAAAGTAGCCTTGCTGCTACACAAAGCCCTGAACGGGATTGGCTTTGGTCCCACTCAGATCCTCCTTGACAGAAGTCGGCATTTCTGCTTGGCCCCATCAGATCTGACGCTGGCAATGATGGATATTTTGTCATCTTGCCCTGACAGTGCAGGTCCCAGTCGCCCCCGAAATGCAGCTCATTTCATCTCGCTTTTTCAAAAGCATCTAAAAACACTTCCTTCATCTCCTTCCCTGGAGTGCTTGTGTTGTTTTACTGCTTGGGTTTTGTTTTTTTTTAATATTTCTTGATCTATCTCTTTCTAATTTTATTGAGGTTGGGTTGGTCTTAATTAAGGAGAAATTGTTTTTATGCTTGTTGCTCAACAGCTAGAAACCTTTTGCAGAGGTTGAGGGTTCTTTATAAATAATAATAATTTCCTCTCTGTTGTTATTGAAAGAAGCAGGTAGGAGGTGGGGGAAAAGCAAACAGAAGGAAAAGGCTGATTTTTTAAAAGGTGCACGCACACTTTCAAATTCCCTTTGAACCAAAGCGAACGAGGGATTTGGAGGGTACTTCCCAGTGGGAACCAAGTACCACAATGCCATGGCCGGCTTTGAGAAGATTAGCCTCTTTGAAGCAGAGATGCATTTTACAGGGGTACAAAGAATGGCAGCCAACAAGCCTACACCACTAATTTTGGGTGGTAACCTCCTCCTTTCCCCCCACCTTCTCCTCACCCCCCAAAAGTCCTGCAATTAAAGTCAACTGAATCTATTCCTTTGTCTTCAACGGATGCAAGATCGAGCTCCTAATGAAAAAAAAAATCAAGGCAGTGCCACTTTTAAGACTCTAGCTCTCAGGGTCATCAGCGATGCTGGGCCACAGGTTCGGGCAGAGCTGGAAAAGGCAGCAGAGTGCCACGATGAGGACATTCATTCACATTTATAAATGGATTTGCTTCTGCAGCCTTCATGGCAGCTGTTCTTGCGCTTCACTAGCAAATTTTGCATCAACACTCCAAGATTAATTGAAAATTCATTCCCTGGGTACCAGAAATTGGATGCTAAAAGTTACACTCATCCTAACAGACAATAGAAACGCTATTACATGACTTGTGTGACCAATTACAGCTAAGCACCAGACACTCCAAATCTGAAGCAACGTGATGTTGAGTCACTAATATTAATGACAAATGGGAAGCGATTTGAGTAATAAAACTAACTCCGGGATAAAAACAGTGTGTTCATGGACATCCCACAAACAGAAAAAAAAAAAGGAAAATCTGCTTAATAAATGATTACATAGTGTTGCCTTGGCTTTCATTTCCACATTCAGATGAATCAGGTGCGAAATGTTCGGTGACACTTTAATTACAAACCCTTTTGCAATAATCAGACTTCCCATTTACATACGTTGCACATTAACCATTCTGGCCCAAGCAACATGGTGGGATTGTGCACTGCTTATGGGGGCAGAGGAAAACAGGACGAGGAGCTGGAGACCAGTTTTGAGGAAAAAGAGAGTGAGAGCAACAGAGAGAGAGAGATAGCGCACAAGACAAAATAAGCAGAGAGGGGAAAATCTGTAGAGTTATCCTATTTATAATACTTGGAAAACTTTTTTCCTTTGGCTGTATTATAGATTTCATAGACATTAGGGCTGGAAGGGACCTTGGGAGATCATGGAGTCCAGCCCCCGACCCCGAGGGCAGGAAGTCAGCTACAGAGAGCTAGACCAGGTGTGTCAAACTGGACTAGGCTCTGGATCTGGACCCGGTGGCAGTGGCGGGGTGAGAGGAGGTGGCACAGGAGTAAAGGCAACCATTGTTCACCCCCTTACCCCTAACATACATCCCAAACGTCTGTACTTGGGTATTCAGTCGTGATCTTCCCCCTGCTCGCTCTGCCTCTCGAATCCCCAGCCCTTTCAGGAGCCCTGCAGACTGTATCTTTGACAGCCCTGGTCTAGCTGATCTTCTCTCTAATGCACTGGAAATGCCTGGGACTCTGGAAAACTTGGTGCAGTTTCCAGTGCTGCCACAGATTCCCCGGTGTGGACTTGAATACGTCACTTTAATTCTTTGTCTCGTTTCTTCCTTTGGTAAATGGAGACAAGAGCCTCCTTTCCCACTGCAAACAAGCTTGTTGTGTAAGCCCCCCAAAGCAGTTAAAGATTTTCACTAGCCCCTAACGGCCAAATGTTAGCCTCACCATTTTACAGCTAGGATAAAAGGTTAACAGTCAACTTTCAGCAGAGAACACCAGGTCCTATGCAGGCACCCAAGTGAGATGGCCAGTTTTTCAGTGTTTGGCCCCAAGCAAATTCCCGTGCTGGGATTTAAACAAGTCACTCAAAACCAGCACAATAAATCAGCACCTGGCTCCCAGCTCCCTGCTGTAATCACCGTTGTACACTGCTTCTCTCTACAAAACTAAACTGAATGCTACTTGTGTGCATCACACAACACTAGATCAACTGTTTCTTCTGTAAATTGGATTTGGATTTGAGTGGATGTCATCAGTGTAGACGGGTGCCATTCTGGCCTTTCATGGCATGGGAGGAGGAATTTAATGAAGGCGGCCAAAAGCAGGCCATCAAAAAAAGAGCAGAGAGGGAGACCTATTCAGATAATGTCAGGACTTGCTTCCTCTCTCAGGTTTATCCCATCCTAATGGATATCTAAGAGGTCATTTTTACACATATTGTGGGATGCAGCGCCAAGTGCTTTAATTAGTGAGCCATGCGAATTAAAAGCCCCTGCGCATCACGTGTATCAGTGTCCCTGTGCATTCCTGTGCTGAAAAAATGGCTGTGCTGCACTATGAACTAAAGCTCATCGAACGTGTTTCATGTTCAAAGTGCGCCCATCTTTTCGGCACGGAGACATGCAGGAACGCTGATACGCATGACGCGGATGGCTGCTGGAGCTCATTGATTTCCAGTGCTCCCAGAAGCATTGTGGCTGGCACCCCAAGAGTTACTCCTCCACCCCTGACCCACTACTGGATTTCCAGTTGTTGACTGCTGTTCAGCATAAAAATCGGTGGCAGGACAGTGAACAGTGTCAGAGATAACTCCCATGTGTTGGCCACACTGATAGTGGCTGAACAACAGTGGCATTAACTCCTTGGATGCTGGCACTGACACAACAGCTCTGGCAACTACAGTGAGAAGCCCCACAGGCCAGATCCAGAGATGGGTCACCTGGCCCATGAGAAACCCAAAGATCCAGATGTGGCCCATCACCTCCTTTGAGCTTGACACCTCTGGTTAGGATGATTGGTTACTCTGCGGGTCTGTGGCACTTTGGTGAACCTAATCTCTTTTAACATGGCTGGAATGGCTTACTCCATCATACGAACCAATTGCTTTCCTTGCAAATTGAGCAGAATCCCTATAGGCACTAGGGGGACTTTTGCATGCACAGCAAAGATCCACGCAGCCGGGTAAAACTAGAATGTTTTACAATGTTTTTTCGACCAAGGTAACTGTCGTGGCACATTACGTCTGCCATCTAAATAATATAAATACAGCAAGACAGATTCCCCATCGCCTTTGCCTTTGTGTTATTTTTTACTTGAGTGCAAAGTGGGCAGAAAACCAAATCAGAATGGTAGCAGATTACACCCACTTTGGACAAGATGCTGGGCTAAGCACAATCAGGCCCAATCAAGTTTTCAATCCCTGTGTATTCAGCATATGTGATGGCACTCGTTTCTACCCTGGAATTTGATATCACCACATTCAATTTCCTAGGTATTCAATAGTCAGTCTCCTCTCCTGGAAAGTGTTCTGAAACAGAGACAGCTTGAAAGAACAGGCGGGGGAAATGGGGTAATGGGTTTTCCAGATGGAACAACAATAAAGGGTCTAGTTAAATAAAAAATATACCTTTGCCAATAATGTTCCTTTCACTCCATGGTTTAGACCATTACAGAAAACATTCGCTAACTTTTAGCCAGCACTTCCCTGACCCTCCAGCCTTCAATTACCTATGGTTAGTATCATGATGCTGAAATATTTCCCAAGTGACAAAAGACATTTTACTTACACATAGAGCACAGTTTTCTGGTCTCCAGCTTCCCCTCCATCACCCACTGTCAGCGTGTCGTATCCTCGCTCCAATTCAAATTCTTCAAATGTGAGTTTGATAACCTAGCAAAGATGCAGCATGTTAATATGAATCAACCGCCGAGGCAGCCGGTGGCTCCTCTTGTCTTGTTTCTTTATTCATGTATCTATCGAAGAGCAATTTATATGAGTATTATATCTCCTTCATGCTGCAAATGGTGGCTGCCCTCACTTTTTATAGCACTGTGGCATTTCTCCACCAGACGGATGGAGTTGTTATTGAAATCACCTTTTGGATGTCTGTGCTGCATCTATAGATGTGAGATGCATTTACTGATACAGGCACACGTATGTTGAGTGTGCAGCATGTAGGCTGCATTTGCTGTGCTGTTCGGGCACTGTCACCCTGCTATTCCTTTTACATTTGGAGTTAGGTGATGGATTTGAATGTGCATACATGTATCATTCGTTTATTAAACACAGTACAGCCAGGCCTAAAGCAACCTGGGAACATAAGCTGGTCTGGACTGGTAGCAGGTGTGTGGTCAGCTGGTTCCCTTCCCTGGCTCCAATGATTACTGGCAGATGCTATCTGAGGCTCCCTGCAGACATCACTGTACCTGTTACACTCTGGGTAGCTTAGAGTGATCATCTCAGGCTCCCTGCAGACTCAGACAGACATCATTGCATTAGTTTGTAATTGCATTCATGGTTCCAGGTTCACATAAGCTTTAGATGGGGTTTCTCAGAAGTATGTATGAGATTTAGGAGTGCAGCCCCACCGAAAGCCGAAATCTGGTGCAAAGACAGTTGGTGCTTTTCCAAGTTCCATCCATTTTTTTTCCCCAGTGAGTGCTATGTTTTGACACTACCTCACTCTCAGACTTGGGGCACTAGGTACAAACCTACTGTGCCTGAGTCTTTATCCAGCCCTGAGTAAGTTGTATTCAGCATGGACCATCCATTTACACGCCACGATATTTGCCCTTTCATGTGCTGCAACTGCGTGTCTGTTTGCATGAGCGAGATTTCCCGTGACACCAATTAAATCAACAGGAGAGGATGTTGCTCGGCAGTTTCTCAAAAGCCCTAGCACAGAGCAAAACCTAAGCATGCATTTGGTATGTGAGAAAAACACAGTCACTAGATTACTCATAACACCATAAATGAGCAAATAGGAATTTACCTTTTTAAACAAATGTCCATTAGCTTTTCTTTATTTATTCCATTTGCAGGTCAGATTAGAAATAAACTAATCCAAGATAATAAGGGGATGGACCTTGCCATTCCAAATGCCTGCACAGCACTACACAAACACTGCACCAATAAATGCTTTCACCCAAAATGGAAAGAGGAAGCAAGGTGTTTAGATCCTCATTGGGTCCAAATCAACATAGTTACATGGATTTCAGTGGAGTTACACCTGCTTGCACCACCAAATAATGTGGCCCGTAGTCCACTTTCCCTAGGAACCAGCACTAAAACCAAGTTTCACCAATTTGCACCAGTTTCATTCCGACTCCAGCCAGTATCGCATTCATGCACCAACCTGATGTGGTTTGGTTTTGCAAGGTGTAGGAGGACTGTTTAAATCAATCAACACTGGAATTTAAAATAAAATTCTATTAGACATTTTTATCCATATTGAAATGCAGAAAGAGTAACTGCTTACAAGCTATGGGTATACTATCTATATTGAGAAGCATCTCTCTAAAAGAAGGCCACTAGCAAAAAAAGAAAAAGACTTCAGTATATGAGGTGAAAAGTCTTGGGACAAAAGCAGAATCTAATGCTCCAACACTATGACGACTTAAGTATGTGCATAACTTTAAACTTGCAAGTAATCCCACAGAAATCAAAAGAAACCACAGATCTCAACGGCAACTGGTTTTGGTTGCGCTAGGGGTGTGCTTACAGATCACTTGCCTTTCAAGCCCTAGCCTTGTCTCCCATCCCATCTCATGCAATATTAAGGTATAGACCTGCTTCTCATCAGCCTACTATACAATTGCAAAGCCACAGGTATTGTTTAGGGGAAGCTACAGCATGTTGAACAACTTCCGATATTTATTTTTAAGTGGACCAGATACAAAATGTGGGCTCCCTTCTAAAAACTAGGAACATATACATAATTCAGGCTGAATGTTCTGTGCTACTGTCTTATACATATGTTTAAATCTGGAGAATAAGCTAATAAAACTAGGCACTGTGTCTAAAACATCCGAAGAGGAACAGCGCATTCAGAAGCTGATGGGATCTAATATAAAGGCATAATGGTAGTTGGGAGCTGGTGTACATTTTAGTAGTGATCAATTCCAATTGCTGGTTCTGCCACTCCATTAACACTCTTAAAATCCCTATATATTTAAAAAAAATATATATAACACTGCTAATATTAGTAGCGGTGCTGAAGTTTTAACCTGTAGAAAATCTTAAACCATGTAAAGGCAAAATAATGTAATTAATATAAAGAGCATCATGCTGTAAAATGGCACACATCATTAGATAAACCAGTCATTCAAATAAACTGCATTTTAAAGATTCTGACCCTAATTAAATAGCTAATTAGATTCGTGTATACTGTAGACCGTCACCTTGTTGCATAGGAACAGAATGAGTGTAATATTTATTTATGTATTTTTCCACATTATTTTTTCCTTTTCATTGAAGACTACAAATTATTTAATGAATCATTAAACAACAAGGGACCTCTTGGCACATGCGGATACACTCATGGCACAAAACCTTGTTTTAAAGTCATTTAAATGACAGGAAGCAATTAGCAATGTCAAAGAAATGGGGTTGAGTCTGTCTCATGATCTAATAGCTTGATCTACTGCTATTTCTGATTTGAATGAAGGTTACATTTAGAGAATAAGATTACAATGCTAATACTGTCCATGGAGTATAGCACCTCAAACGAACTCATTTCCAAAGGCCTTACGGATATTGATTAAGTCCCCCAACACTGCTTTAAGGTCATTCAGTAAACCCGGCTACCCACACAATGCATTTACAAATAGGTGGTGTTTCTACACCGGGGGACAAGGAAGCTGTGCAGGGATGTGCCCACAGCTGGACTGGGGAAGCAGCAGAGATGAGAATCAAAACGTGGGCATTTCTAACCCAAGCCACTTAATCCACAGTTTCCTCAGAGTAAAATTGTCCTGGTCAGACTATCCAAAACCAGATCCCTTCTCCCCTGGGAATCAAAGGCCAATATAGAGCCTCCTTTCTACAAGATGGCCTCAGTCCAGAAAAGCCCTTAGGACAACACTTCCCTTTAAGCTTGCAAGCGCTCTGTCCTCACCACTGCCTGCGGCTGAATCCCAGGAGTCAAAAGAAACATGGACAAATGAGCTTGCCCTTATTTGAAGAGGGTGATCTCAGAAATGCCAAATTTAGTTCCCCACAACGGTCATGCGCGCTTCTCAAGATTGGGTCTGGTTAGCAATGCTTCCCACTTCTGATGCAATTCCTTCACTTGACACAGGCTCCCAATGCAAAGTCTAGGCACCATGAATGGTCCTCAGAAGAGGATTTGCATAGCCCTTGTGTGGTGCACAGGCCTTGTGGTGAGCTAATTGTACAGGAATGAATTTCAGGCTGTCAGCCAACCTGATCTCTGCCCTCAACACTGTTTACCGAGGGCTTCTGACTGAGTGTCAGAAAGGATGATGTAGCTCAGTGGACTGGGCTTCCTACAAACATATCAGCCTTGAAAAACTCTGCTGCCCCATTTGTCCAAGGAGTGCAGCTGTTTGATGGCCGAGTATACTAGGTAGGGCTTTTATTATAATTTTCCTTTCCCCCATTATCATCCATCATCACAGTAAAAGCCAGCAGGATGTTTGGTCTAGGCAGCTTTTTAAGACAATATTGCTGGTTTGCAACATATCATGGAGTAAACAAATATCTCATCACTTAGGAGGGATGGGAGAAAAAACAAGAGCACCAGAGTGGTTTATTAGTGGGTTGTTTTTTCTCCAACACAAACACAAGCCTTTCAAGTTCTGTGGGGGGAGAGCAAAGATTTCCTTTCCATTTATTCCCCTCAGCCACCCAAGGGAAATTTATCTATATTTATATCTATCTAGCAAAGGTGAAATTATATGTATATGTAGATGTATATGTATATGTATATTAAATTGAAACCTGGGCAGGGCACATTGGGTAAAAATTCAGCTCTCTACAAAGGGCCACCCCTGGGGAAATTAAGGCCTTAAAATTGGAGTTCACATAGCACAGTGGTCTCCAACCTTTTTAAATAGGAGATCAGCTTTGGCATTTAAAAGCAGCCCAAAATCTACCGTGCGTCGCTGCCACTCTCTTCCCCTCACCCAGCAAGTAAGTCTGTGGGGGGGGGGGGCAGATCAAAGCAGAAGGAGAAAAAAGTATTTGGGGGTGCGCCTCCCCAGCAGGTAAGTCCCACCCAGCCGGGGCCCCACTCAACTTACCCCTGCTCGTGCCACTGCGGCACTGTCGCTCGCTGCGGGGGTTTGATCCAGCCCCCTCCCGTCCCCCACGAACTGACCTGCTGGGCTGGGACACACGTGCATGCACACGGGCATTCAGCCCCCGACCCCAGCCTCAGATCGACTCCAAGAGGCTCCAAGACCTACCGCAAGAGGCTTCGAGATCTACCAGTGGATCAAGATCCACTGGTTTGGATCAAGATCCACTGGGTGGTGGACATAGCCCAAGGGGCCAGGTGCGGAGTCTCTGCACAGGGGTGAGTTTTGTCTATACTTGAAATTTTGGCTAGAAAGTGTTTTTTGCTCTGCTTTTAGAAGAGAAAAATAAAATCGGGAAAAATGCAGCAGCTCAACACTCTTTTCCCCACTACCAAGGGACACTTGAAACTTAAAAACCAGATCATAAACTGGTAAAAGATTATGGGGTGCAATGGAACAATATTGATTTGGATCACCTGAGGATGCTTTGGGGCTCTGAAAGTCCCATGAAACATGCCGAACAGGTCACTTTCAAATGAGCTCTCAATTTAGATCAACCGTTTTCTCATCCCTAACAATAGGAACTCACGGAAGACCTGAGGCAAAGCCATTTCAAATCAACGAGAAGCC